CAGCCGCGGCGATTTTCCTTGCTGCAATGTTTTCCCCTTCCGTGCATGCGCAGAACTGTAGGTACGTGCACAGATGGTTGTGCTTCCGGCCATGACCAAATCGGGTTGTGACCGTAGTCTTGGAACAGATTACGATCACAACTTGAGGTTCTACTGTAATTCTAGGTTGCTTCTCTCCATGCTTAGTTTCCATCCATTGCTTCTTGTCATGCCTTCAGGTGCTTTGGAGAACAGATTTGACTCCCTCTTCTTTGTGGCAGCTGCTGAAGCGAGCGGGATCGTGCAGGCTTGCAGGAGGCGAGTTAGAATGCCTTCAAATAGTGGAAGCAGTGGTGGTATTCGCCCGGTTCAGCCCGATTCTGGTGAGCCGGTAGGAGCGATGAGCAGCGACCGAACTCTCCGCTGCTCTGCTGTTGGGACCACCCACCTGCCCGGGCTCCCATACTCGCTTTTATCTGCTGAATTTGAAGCCCAGCTGCTTTGAGCAGCACAGAAGAGTGCCGCGCGGCAGCTGTTGAAGCGACCGGGATCATGCGCAGGCTCGCAGGAGGGAGTTAGAACGCCTGTGCACCTACGCAAAGTGCGCGTTTGGCATGCCCAGCAAGCCATGGCTACGGAACCGGTGGCAACAATATTTGAATCCCACCACTGAGTGGAAGACTGCTGTCGCTACGGCTCTAGTCTTACAACAATGATGAAGATGTAGCTTATGAGCATTGCGTGCATCATAACCAATGCATGTATGCACCATCCTGGGTAGCTCCTCTTTCTGTCATAGAGCTGCTCAGCAATGGATCTGACCCATCCCCTCCCTTGCCCAAAGGGCAGTGAGTTTGGAGAGGAAGGGATCACAAGAGAATAAAAACAAACACCAAAGCTGTGGGAAATGCACAGCACATGAATATTGAATAATTCAAAAGATGGATAATTTGTATTAATATAATTAAAAATAATTTAAAAGACTGATAATTTGTAAGGTGACCAACGGCCCTCCTTTAGGGAGGACAGTCCTCCTTTTGTAAGTTCTGTCCTCCCTCAAAAAGTGTCCTCCTAAATATCCTCCTTTTTGATATTTGAAGACTAATCTGTAAATCTCCGTATTTGATCGATGCCGATCCGATGTGTGTGATGTGACGTATTTGTTTTTGACATGACGATGATTATGAGACATATGCGCTCCACACAGGATTGTTTTGAGTGTGCAGCGCGCAAGAGGCTTTGTTTTTTTTCCCCTTCCATTTATTTGTGTCCTTTTAATTGTAAAAAAGTTGGTCACCTTATAATTTCTATTTATATCAAGCCATATAAGAATGTCAATAGTATCGATATGAAATAGTTGTCAGGCTTGTTCTCAAATGTAAAAAAAAAAGGGGGGGGCTATTGCGCCCACTCTGAGACCCCTTTTTCTCCAAAAAGGTCTCCTTTCTTTTTCTCCAAAACGGTCTCCTTTGCGAGTCTCCTTTCTCAGCGCAGGCCTCAGCCTTCCTCCCAAGAGATGGAACCACGCCCCCTTTTTTTGCTGAATCCGAACGCAGGGCGATGCCATCGCGCGGCTTCTCTCCCCCACCACCCCCAAAAGGGTCAAAGCCGTCCCACTCGCCCATCCGCCGGCTGCTTCCGGCGTGGCCAGGGTTGCCAGACCGCAGCTTGGCTCTGCAGCCAAACTCAAGTCAAAATACGGCCAAATTATTTTCTCTCACGGCCAAATTTTTTTTCCAAAAAAATCATAAAAAATAGTCAACCAGGGGGCTCAGGATTGCGTGCAGCCCCTTCTTTGATATGTTAAACAAGTTTTCTACAGTTATGAAGAAGGAAAAAAACCCACACATTTATTTATGTATTGATTTGTTTATTCTTCACGTTCTTCGGCTATTAATATGAATATGAATTTGTGATATTCTTTTCTTCCCACGGTTGTTGAAGTGAATCGCTGCCGTTTTCCTGTTACAGGCATGATATTCCCCTCTGAAAAAAAAAATCGGGGCCGGCCAAAAGAGACCCCGCGCCGCGCACCAAGAAATCGCACACACAACACCAACGCCACACACCCTTCCTTTCCAGCCGGTCAGGTGTGGATCAGCTCCGGAGCTGGGCCGGGAAGCGCCCGCTGCTTTCCCTCGCCAGGGCCGGGCGGTGGCGTGTTGCCCTGCGCCGTGGCCCCTGCCTGGCAGCGCGCTTCTCGGCAAGAGGCAGCCGGGTTGCCCAAGGAGCCCGGCCGGCCAGTCGAGGGGCCCCCTTGGCAAGGGGCCGGGGAAGCCTGCGGGCGGAGGACCAAGCGCGCTGGGAGGCAGAGATTCGGCCGAGGCCATCAGACGGAGAGACGGCTGGTCTGTGGCTGCCCAGCTCCCTTTTCCTGCGGCTCAGCGGCCTCCGCTTGCACCGCCCGGGCTCCGCTCAGGTGTCCGGCTGGGGCTCTGCGCGCCTCTGCAGCTGTCCGTTCAAGGGGTCGAGGTTCTCTTTAAGTATCCATGGACCGAAAGGTGCCAGGAGGAGGAAGAAGAAACCCGGGAGCCGCTGCGGTGAGCCTCCAGTGCCGCTGCTGCCGCTGCAAAGCTCTTCCTTTTTGCCTTTCCCGAGGCAACGCGGGAACGGAGCCGCACGGAGCCACGCCTGCGGTAGCAACTCCTGACTCAGGGGGCCTCCGAGGGGAGGGGAAGGAGGAGAAGAAGGGGGGGAAGGCGATTCCCCCAAAAATAGGAATTCCGATTTTAATCAGAAGAATATCATGTCTGCCTGTTAGGAACATGGTTCAACGTGCTCCACGGAGGTTCTCCGCCGTCCCAAAGGGGCTTTTTCCAGAGGCAACTGGACTGTCTTGCTTTTCCTGGAAGACGTTTCGTTGCTCGTCCAATGAGTCACCACCGGGACATGGCGGTTCTGTGAATCTGGCTCCTGCATTTCCTCTGCTCCTGGGAAGGTCATAAGAAGGCCATTCCGTGGTAAAACTTTGGGTTTTGGTTGTGGTCGTTGTCGTTGTCGTGGTCGTCGTCGTTTCGGTTAGGGTTAGGGTTAGGGTTGGCCTTATCGGTATCGGTGTCGGTATACTTGCCATTATCGCTATCGCTATCGTTATCTTTATCGTTATCTTTATCGTTGTCCTTAGGTCTATCGCTGGGAGAAGCCAGCGTGTCGAGAGGCGCCCCCTTTCCTCCTGTCGCCCCGCGTCTCCGCCTGCCGCCGGCCTGTTCTCCATGTCTCTTCTTCTTCTCAGATCAATTCCAAACGCCCGAATCGCCAACACTCAAATGTCTTTAAGCCACGGCGGGCTCCAGCTTAAATAGCCCCGCCCTGCGTTTTCGTTTTCGTTTTCGACGTCCACGCATTTGATGGACAAATAGCTTTGAAGGACCGAGCGTTCAGCAAATCAGAAGCATCTTTGATAGCTTTCCTGGGGAATTCCCCTCAAGTCCTGGTCTCCGGCCAAATTTAGTTGTTTGGCCGTGAAATCGGCCAGATGGCAACCCAGCCGCTCTCCTTCCCTCGCGCATGCGCGTCACCATGAGCAAAAGGAGGACAAGCGCGTCCTCTCAGTCCTCCGACACGCCCGCTTCCTCTCTCAACTCCCGTCACACACCCCTTCGGGCCCTTGGCGCCCGGTCACGCCCCCTTCCCGCCTGTGACCCGAGTAGGGGCGGCTCCTCCTCCGTCAACACCACACTCATTCCCGTCATTTTTTTTCACGGCCAAGCAGATAGAAATACGGCCAGCTTTCTCGAATTTGGCCGGAAAAACGGCCAGATGGCAACCCTGCGAGCAAGCGCCGGCTCGCCAAACAGGCAGCGCGTGCGCACATCCGCCTTCCTTTTCGGCCTGAGCGCCGTGAGGCGCTCGAGTCTAGAAGCTTCGCGAAGTCCGCCGGATCGGCCGCCCGCCTGGGCCATCCGTGACAGGCTGGGGGGGGCGCTCTCTCTCCTCTCACTCACTCTCCTTGCTGCGCGCGCAGCTTTTGCTTTTTTTGCCCCCGCCTGCTCGGGAGGTTTCCTGGTTTCCCGGGGGCCGCTCTCTCTCCTCTCACTCACTCTCCCTCTCCCCCCTCTTTTTCACTCTCCCTGCTGCGCGCGCAGCTTTCGCCCTGTCCCCGCCCCCTTGCCGCGCCGCCTGCTGGTCCCGCGCGCGCGGCCGAGCTTCCCTCAGAACGGCGGCAGCGGCGGCGCCATGACGGCGGAGGAGCGCGGGGCTGAGGAGATGAGCGCGGCGGAGGCGGCGGCCGCAGCGGCCGCGGAGGGCTTCGACATCACCGCCAAGGGCGACGGAGGCGTCCTCAAGGTGGGCGGAGGCGCCTGCGGGGCCCGCCTGGCCCGAGCCTCTCCCCCCCCCACCTCCGCCGAAGGCCGGGCTCGCCCGCTGCCTTCCTCACGAGGCCCCGAGGAGGCGCGTCTGCCCCGGGATTCTCGCCCGCGGGGGCTACTCCTTTGCACGCCCGGCGGGGGACAGCGTTGGAAGCGGCCGGTCTGAATTC